AGATGACAGCAAGAAGAGAGTAGACAGTGATAGAATAAGAATGAATAAAACTAATGAAAGAAAGATGTATCCTGTCTTGCCGTCATCTTATATCTTCTTTTATTATCTTTATTCATTCTTATGCTATCAGTTTTTACTCTCTTTCTTTCCGTCATCTCTATCTTATTATTATTATCATTTTCCTATCTATATGTACCCTATGTCTTGCCGTCATCTGTATATCTTTTTCTTATTATCTTTATTCATTATTATGCTATGAGTGTATACTCTCTTTCTTGCCGTCATCTCTATCTCATTATTATTATCATTTTCCTATCTATATGTACCCTATGTCTGCCGTCATCTCTATATCTTTCTCTTATTATCTTTATTCATTCTTATGCTATCAGTGTTTACTCTCTTTCTTTCCGTCATCTCTATCTTATTATTATTATCATTTCCTATCTATAATTATGTACCCTATGTCTTGCCGTCATCTCTATATCTTTTCTCTTATTATCTTTATTCATTCTTATGCTCAGTGTTTACTCTCTTTCTTGCCGTCATCTCTTCTTATTATTATTATCATTTTCCTATCTATATGTACCCTATGTCTTGCCGTCATCTGTATATCTTTCTCTTATTATCTTTATTCATTCTTATGCTATCATGGTTTACTCTCTTTCTTGCCGTCATCTCTATCTTATTATTATTATTATTTTCCTATCAATATGTATCCTATGTCTTGCCGTCATCTCTATATATTTCTCTTATTATCTTTATTCATTCTTGTGCTATCAGTGTTTACTCTCTTTCTTTCCGTCCATCTCTATCTTTTTATTATTATCATTTTCCTATCTATATGTACCCTATGTCTTGCCGTCATCTCTATATCTTTCTTATTATCTTTATTCATTCTTATGCTATCAGTGTTTACTCTCTTTCTTTCCGTCATCTCTATCTTATTATTATTATCATTTTCCTATCTCTATGTATCCTGTCTTGCCGTCATCTTTATCTCTTTCTCTTATAATCTTATTCACAGTAAAGTCCTTTCATTTCATATCACTATTTCTCTCTCATAATGTCTCTCACGTGTCCGTTCTCCATATTTTATTCATTGCATACTCCATCGTCAATCATTTCTGATAATAAGCTCTCTCACAATAAGTAAATTGAACAATGCATATAGTTTTCATTTTTAAGATTGATTCATTCTTTCTTTGTATACTATGGCTGTGATAAATGTACTTGAAATCAATTTTATTGAGGGGTAAAGAAGGTGAGAAGAACAGATGCGGTGACATTCATAATGAGACATTTCAATAAGATGCTGATTATGTCATGTATATCACATATAATATATTATGCCTATACCATTTTTACATGCTCATACCAGTGGGCAAAATCAATAACATTCTCTTATTTCTTATTGACTATCATGGCACAACAAAGAAAAACATCCCACGACGTCCCTTTTCATGCCCCGCTAAACCGGACATTGACAATAACCTGGGGTAATAGGATTTCAATGGCCAGATTAGCCCATTGTCAATGGTGGCTGAGCGGGGTACTTTCAGTCTCTCCCTATTGAACTTCTTTCTTCAACAACCTAAATACTAACCTTCTGAATTGTTAGAATACTTGAGCAAGGTATGTAAAGAAGGTAAGAAGTCCACCTTTCTATAGATTCGATTTGAAGATGTCTTATCATTGCTAAATACGAAATTCTAGAGGGATAAAAAACTGCCGTAAATAAGAAAAATTAAACATTATATAATTATGATTATTATAAAAATGATAATTCAAAATATAACAAATGACGGTTCATCGAAAAGCACGTTTTCCGGTCTACAACTTTGCTGCACAATATTTTTCATCATGATCATCCAGTGAAGAGTTATAGCCTCTTGAGTCAGCAGAGTCAATAAAGATTCCCTCGAATGTGTGACCCTAAAAGAATGTGCACAGGGGGTTTTTTTAAGTGGCGCATAAAGGTTAATGGGATTAATGATAATATTAATTGTTTTTAAAAAAAGAAGAACAGAAGAAAAACAAAGAAAGGATCAAATGATCATGAGTCGTAGCAGTTAGTAGTCTATGAGCAAAGAATTAATTTGGGTATTGGATTCATGTCTGCAAAAGAGCATAGTGGGACAGAGTGTTGGTCTTTGAAAGGATTAACCTTGGTTTAGTGCTTGTATAAGGTATTCTTTTTAATTACTCAGTCTCTCAGATAGGACTTAAAGCTGTTGATTCCTCAGAGCTTCAGAGAATAATAATATACATACTTGCAAGCTTGAATTATTAAGGCGTATACAGCTGAATTGGCAGTGACGTGAGGGCAATTGTTCTGTATATGTTCATTTGATAGTTCTGTTGTGGGAAGAAGCATTGTGTAGTAAAACTACCTTACTTCAAATAATAAATCTGCTTACCGTAATATTCCAAATTGTAGAAGAATCTGAGTACAAATCAAATTTGATTTGTATGATGAAATTGCATTTACAGATGTTGCGTTTTTTTCCCCTTTCAATTTTTCAGAGCGTATCAAGCACTCAACTTCAAGCATGAAACCTGTCGCTGATTCAACCCCGATTCGTGGCGCCCCCTGCCTCCTCTTCAACCCAGCGGTAAGTCTACATCACCACCATAATTTAAAACCAGTCATCATGTGGTTTTAGCTGATGATGAGAGTGACATGGTTTTTAGGTGATGTTGATGGGGATGTGGTTTTAGCTGATGATGAGAGTGACATGGTTTTTAGCTGATGATGATGGAGGTGTGGTTTTAGCTGATGATGATGGAGGTGTGGTGTTGTAGCTGATGATGATGTGAAGGTGGTTTTAGCTGATGATGAGAGTGACATGGTTTTAGCTGATGATGAGAGTGACATGGTTTTAGGTGATGTTGATGGGGATGTGGTTTTTAGCTGATGATGATTGGATGTGGTTTTAGCTGATGATGAAGTGACATGTTTTAGCTGATGATGAGAGTGACATGGTTTTAGGTGATGTTGATGGGGATGTGGTTTTAGCTGATTTTGATGGGGATGTGGTTTTAGCTGATGATGGTAGGTTTCTAGCTGATGATGATGTGGATGGGGTTTTAGCTGATGATGAGCGTGACATGGTTTTAGCTGATGATGATGGGATGTGGTTTTTAGCTGATGATGATGGATGTGGTTTTAGCTGATGATAGCGAGGTGGTTTTAGCTGATGATGATGGATGTGGTTTTATCTGATGTTGATGGGGATGTTGTTTTAGCTGATGATGATGGGAGGGGTTTTAGCTGATGATGATGTAGATGCGGTTTTTAGCTGATGATGAGAGTGACGTGGTTTTAGCTGATGATGATGTCGATGTGGTTTAAGTTGATGATGAGAGTGACATGGTTCTAGCTGATATTGATCGGGATGTGGTTTTTAGCTGATGATGAGAGTTACATTGTTTTTTAGCTGATGATGTTGGGGATGTGGTTTTAGATTATGAAGGTGGTGATGTTTTTTTTAATTGGTCCTACACGAAAAGGCAAAGCCCGACATGTCCAAACTGCTGCTTTTGGGGGCTAATCACTACAGGAGGCTGCAACCCTTGCCCTCCTTTAAATAAAGCTTTTTCATCTTCAAACAAAGTAGTACCCGGAAGAAAAATATCTGGTCCTTTGAAATGCTTACAGCTTTTGAACAACCCAAAAAATTCTGCCCATGGTGTATAACCCCTTCATAAGTTCTTCTAAACACAACTATTATATCAATCTCTTTACCCGAAGGGCATACAAAACCATTCCATGTCATATCAGAACAAAGGCCTTTTTATGTAGACTCTTTCCCCGCAGGTACTGAAGATCATCTGGAGTATTATGTTCATGAGTGTGGAGACATCTTAAACCATCAGCATGAAGCTACCGGCAGACTCAACCGACGCTAAACACATTATGGAGCATGTCTTTGCACAGGTGTCGAATTCAAGAAACTCGACCAAGTAAGATCATGAACAGGGATTCCCTTTTTGATGAGATATGGGATCATATTGTGTGAGAGCAGTATACCATGTTGGTAGTTTTCATTTAAAGATGACATATTTCTTTCTTGAAATGTTCCTGAACTTTCACTCTGCACTTATTCTTATGCCTCCGCTACAAAGTAGCCGGAGGCAGTATTTTTTGGTTGTCCGTCCGTCCGTACGTCCCGTTCTCGTGATCGCTTTATCTCAAGAACCAATTAATGGATTACCGCCAAACTTTGGTCATGTATGTATCTTGCAGAGCTAATGAAGTGGTTAGATTTTGGGGTCACGAGGTCAAAGGTCACAGGGCTTATTACGTATGTATAAATAGCTTGTGATTGCGTTATCTCAAGAACCGATTAATAGATTCCCGCCAAACTTGGGTTCATCTGTACTCACTTATCTTTTTGTTTCAATTTCAATTTCATTTTGTTCATGTTTACAACAAAACATTACGAAGCAATTATAAGCATTTAAAACAAATGTAGAAATACATGTTAGAAACAGACAGGTCCACTAAAAAGCAATGCTTGTATATGTGTGAACACCTTATGATATACTAAATTGTAAAGTGCAGTATGCTCAAAGCACCCACGTTCACCACAGCATTTGGGAACAAGCTGTATGTTGCATGGAAATTGCAGCTTGTACCTACAGCTGATCTTCGTTATTTAATAGTATTTTTCACTGATAACATTCTTTATTACACTTCTGGGCTCCTATTCACTTTACTCTTCATGGTTTGTCTATTAGGAAAATAGTAAGATATTGAAATAAAGAGATGTAATATAATTTGTGTTCTCTTACTTGTTCAGGCGACTGGAGTGCGTCCATACACAGGGAACGTTGGAGCAGATGATGTTGATGGTGTAGACATGGCTTACAGGGTAGTGGCTGATCATATTCGCACATTGACCATAGCTCTCTTGGACGGAAGCTGGCCAGATAATGTTGGAAGAGGGTGAGTCCTTTTGAATGGATTTTCTAGCCCTCATTTGATCTTATACAGTCTAATGGTTGGCAATACTTTACATGCCATACATTAAAATTACCTAAAGTTTGGTTCTATTTAACAACACATGGGATACATATACATAAGATGGAATTTAAAAAACCTTTTTAACACACATATTTATGCCTTAATAATAATAATAATAAGAATAATATTTTGATGTCTCTGCTACAGCCTAGCCGGAGGCATATGTTTTCTGGTTGTCTGTCTGTCCGTACGTCTGTTCTCGTGATCACGTTATCTCAAGAACCGATTGATGGATTACCGCCAACTTGGGTCATGTATAATTCTTGCAGAGCTAATGACCAGATAAAATTTTAAGGTCACAAGGTAAAAGGTCACATGGCTTATTTTTGTATGCAAAAACAGCTTCGATCGCGTTATCTCTAGAAAGGATTAATGATTAATGGATAATATTAATGGTTTTAAAAAAAAGAAGAACAGAAGAAAAGAACAAAGAAGGATCAAATGATCATGAGTCGTAGCAGTTAGTAGTCTATGAGCAAAGAATTAATTTGGGTATTGGATTCATGTCTGCAAAAGAGCATAGTGGACAGAGTGTTGGTCTTTGAAAGGATTAACCTTGGTTTAGTGCTTGTATAAGGTATTCTTTTTATTACTCAGTCTCTCAGATAGGACTTAAAGCTGTTGATTCCTCAGAGCTTCAGAGAATAATAATATACATACTTTGCAAGCTTGAATTATTAAGGCGTATACAGCTGAATTGGCAGTGACGTGAGGGCAATTGTTTCTGATATGTTCATTTGATAGTTCTGTTGTGGGAAGAGCATTGTGTAGTAAAACTACCTTACTTCAAATAATAAATCTGCTTACCGTAATATTCCAAATTGTAGAAGAATCTGAGTACAATCAAATTTTGATTTGTATGATGAAATTGCATTTACAGATGTTGCGTTTTTTTCCCCTTTCAATTTTTCAGAGCGTATCAAGCACTCAACTTCAAGCATGAAATCTGTCGCTGATTCAACCCCGATTCGTGGCGCCCCTGCCTCTTCAACCAGCGGTAAGTCTACATCACCACCATAATTTAAACCAGTCATCATGTGGTTTTAGCTGATGATGAGAGTGACATGGTTTTAGGTGATGTTGATGGGATGTGGTTTTAGCTGATGATGAGAGTGACATGGTTTTAGCTGATGATGATGGAGGTGTGTTTTTAGCTGATGATGATGGAGGTGTGGTTTTAGCTGATGATGATGTGAAGGTGGTTTTAGCTGATGATGAGAGTGACATGGTTTTAGCTGATGATGATGGAGGTGTGGTTTTTAGGCTGATGATGATGGAGGTGTGGTTTTAGCTGATGATGATGTGAAGTGGTTTTAGCTGATGATGAGAGTGACATGGTTTTAGCTGATGATGAGAGTGACATGGTTTTAGGTGATGTTGATGGCAGAGCTGCCAAGTCTCCCGGATCCTGCGGGAGACTCCCGGATTTTGACCCAATATCCCGTTTTTCCCGACCCCATGCAAAAATCTCCCTGATTTCCAGATTTTAAGTTGTATTTTTTTCACAAACGACTGTTTCACAAGACTAGCATGTTGAGTTCGTACGTACGTATACAAACAGGTCAACACATGGCAATTCTGTAATATGAATTTTCCTGTTATCCAGTCGTCGAATATAAATTTACCGTGATATCGTACTTTATTTAACAGCGTAATAAATGAGAGTTACGCCGAACGACTGGCGGGCTAGTCTAACAACCATTGGGAACATGTGATAATGTGAGTGGTGTTTGTGTGATAGCAATTCGCCTGCTTGCTCTGCCGGGCGGCTTCCTCGCGGCCCCCGTAGCGTCCCGGTACGTTGGTGCCGGTTTCCAATCGGTCGCGTCAGAGCAGCCAGAAGTTGCACTGATACAACAAGCAGACTTTGTCTGCTGCGATCGGCCCAAAAAACTGCACATTTGAACATCAGTTTTTTGGATTGATTTGGGGACTTTTGCGATGTGATTTTTAAGTGGATTATCATTTGATACCAACATGGCAGTGTTACTGCAGAGTGGATTTTGAAGCCGACTTTTTTTTTTCTGATCTCCTTTGCCGTTGGAACGCATCGATATAACTTGCATCTTCCGAAGGCGTAAGTCAACTTTGTCCAAAACAAGGCTGTATTTTGTTTGACTATTAAAATATCATCCAGGACAATGTCGAAGTCGAAATATTATCAGAAATATAAAGATGACTACCACTTGGAATGGCCTTGTGTTGGGAAATCTACGAAAGGCGAATACTACGCATTTTGTACAGTTTGCGGCGCAGATATCTCCATCAAGAGTGGGGGAAGAAATGATGTATTTCGCCACATCACATCTGAAAAACAAACACAGCAAACCGCGAAATCAAGGCAATACAAAAGGAATACAGCTTTTTCAGGTTAGTATGAACAGTTTCTTAGATTTGTAAAATCGAGAAATAGTCTACCCCTCCATACCATAGACCTGCGTTCATTTCGTCAGTAGTTGGGGACCTCATTAATCTCCCTAAAAATTTGACTTACTCATAAACACGTGGTGCGGGACTCAAATACAGTAACAAGATCTTTGATGACATCAACCTACTCCTACAGAGAGAAGAACCCTGCATTCACATTCTTAATAAGCAGCTTAATAAAGCCTTCCAAGATATGCTTGTTAGATTCGTGCAGCCAACAGTGATTGTTGAATGTTCTGATGTCAAGAAAGTGCAGTATGGTAAGAGAGATTGCCAGAATCAGATAAAGATCTAATGATTGGAAAAGATGCCAAGGATACCTGGAGAGTACAACAAGCCCAGAAGATGATTCTCCCCTTCGTCTTACAGATGTTGATTTGACATACTTCTACTTGTCGGTGAGGAAGTATTATGAATCAGCATGTGACTATGCCTTGAAAACCTGGCCACTAGATGTCAAGTTCCTTAAGGAGGCTGAAGTGATTGATGTCAGTTCCAGAAGAGATGTGTCATTTTCATCTGTGCAATACTTTGTTGAAGTACCCTTGCATTTTGAACAGACAATCAGAGAATGGAGACCTGGACAAGCTTGAGCTGGAATTTGCACAATACCAGGTTGAAGACTTTTCAGGGAACCAGAGATCCTGAACAAAACTTGAGAATAGACAAGAAATGGTCTGCAATTTTCAAGATGGAGGATGGCAATGGCTCAAAGAAATACACACTTCTGAGCAAAGTGATGAAATCTTTGCTTGTGATACCACATTCCAATGCTTCATGTGAAAGAGTTTTTAGCATTGTTAGGAAGAACAAAACTGATTTCAGGGGATCAATGAATTTGAAAACACTTCAAGCACTCCTAACAGAGAAAAATTGCCAACACAGATGTCCCATGCTACCAAAGGAGTATAGCAAGGACCTCCTTAGCAAACTCAAGCAAGCAACCTACCAGTCACTTCAAGGAAACCCTCAAGCACACCCCAGTCCTTGCCTTCCACAAGTACATCCCCATTTCACAATAGGTAACAGAGTTCATAGTCTGAAATATGATGTGAAGTTCATATGTTATCATTGTATGCAAATAAATGTGCCATATCAAAGCCTTCCATTTTGAGAAATCATTGAAAAAATGTTTCTAAAAGGGTTTCAAAAGGCTTAAAACCAAGAGCTTTTGGGGGGCCTGCCCCCTGCCCCCCCCCCCCCCCCAGGGGCACTAAAAGCCATTCTTGGTTCCCGCCAACATGAAGTCGTTCGATGCTGCTCTCTCAGAATCTCCTGATTACCCAAATCAAATGTTGGCAGCTCTGTGATGGGGATGTGGTTTTAGCTGATGATGATTGGGATGTGGTTTTAGCTGATGATGAGAGTGACATGGTTTTAGCTGATGATGAGAGTGACATGGTTTTAGGTGATGTTGATGGGAGGTGGTTCTAGCTGATGATGATGTGGATGGGGTTTTAGCTGATGATGAGCGTGACATGGTTTTAGCTGATGATGATGGGGATGTGGTTTTAGCTGATGATGATGGGATGTGGTTTTAGCTGATGATGAGAGCGAGGTGGTTTTAGCTGATGATGATGGGATGTGGTTTTATCTGATGTTGATGGGGATGTGGTTTTAGCTGATGATGATGGAGGGGTTTTTAGCTGATGATGATGTAGATGCGGTTTTAGCTGATGATGAGAGTGACGTGGTTTTAGCTGATGATGATGTCGATGTGGTTTAAGTTGATGATGAGAGTGACATGGTTCTAGCTGATATTGATCGGGATGTGGTTTTAGCTGATGATGAGAGTTACATGTTTTTAGCTGATGATGTTGGGATGTGGTTTTTAGATTATGAAGGTGGTGATGTTTTTTTAATTGGTCCTACACGAAAAGGCAAAGGCCCGACATGTCAAAACTGCTGCTTTTGGGGGCTAATCACTACAGGAGGCTGCAACCCTTGCCCTCCTTTTAAATATAGCTTTTTCATCTTCAAAACAAAGTAGTACCCGGAAGAAAATATCTGGTCCTTTGAAATGCTTACAGCTTTGAACAACCCCAAAAAAATTCTGCCCATGGTGTATAACCCCTTCATAAGTTCTTCTAAACACAACTATTATATCAATCTCTTTACCCGAAGGGCATACAAAACCATTCCATGTCATATCAGAACAAAGGCCTTTTTATGTAGACTCTTTCCCCCGCAGGTACTGAAGATCATCTGGAGTATCATGTTCATGAGTGTGGAGACATCTTAAACCATCAGCATGAAGCTACCGGCAGACTCAACCGACGCTAAACACATTATGGAGCATGTCTTTGCACAGGTGTCGGAATTCAAGAAACTCAACCAAGTAAGATCATGAACAGGGAAATTCCCTTTTTGATGAGATATGGGATCATATTGTGTGAGAGCAGTATACCATGTTGGTAGTTTTCATTTAAAGATGACATATTTCTTTCTTGAAATGTTCCTGAATTTTCACTCTGCACTTATTCTTATGCCTCCGCTACAAAGTAGCCGGAGGCAGTATGTTTTTCTGGTTGTCCGTCCGTCCGTACTTCCCGTTCTCGTGATCGCTTTATCTCAAGAACCAATTAATGGATTACCGCCAAACTTTGGTCATGTATGTATCTTGCAGAGCTAATGAAGTGGTTAGATTTTGGGGTCACGAGGTCAAAGGTCACAGGGCTTATTACGTATGTATAATAGCTTGTGATTGCGTTATCTCAAGAACCGATTAATAGATTCCCGCCAAACTTGGGTTCATCTGTACTCACTTATCTTTTTGTTTCAATTTCAATTTCATTTTGTTCATGTTTCCAACAAAACATTACGAAGCAATTATAAGCATTTAAAACAAATGTAGAAATACATGTTGGAAACAGACAGGTCCACTAAAAAGCAATGCTTGTATATGTGTGAACACCTAATGAGATACTAAAGTGCAGTATGCTCAAAGCACCCACGTTCACCACAGCATTTGGGAACAAGCTGTATGTTGCATGGAAATTGCAGCTTGTACCTACAGCTGATCTTCGTTATTTAATAGTATTTTTCACTGATAACATTCTTTATTACACTTCTGGGCTCCTATTCACTTTACTCTTCATGGTTTGTCTATTAGGAAAATAGTAAGATATTGAAATAAAGAGAGATGTAATATAATTTGTGTTCTCTTACTTTGTTCAGGCGACTGGAGTGCGTCCATACACAGGGAACGTTGGAGCAGATGATGTTGATGGTGTAGACATGGCTTACAGGGTAGTGGCTGATCATATTCGCACATTGACCATAGCTCTCTTGGACGGAGCTGGCCAGATAATGTTGGAAGAGGGTGAGTCCTTTTGAATGGATTTTCTAGCCCTCATTTGATCTTATTACAGTCTAATGGTTGGCAATACTTTACATGCCATACATTAAAATTACCTAAAGTTTGGTTCTATTTAACAACACATGGGATACATAATACATAAGATGGAATTTAAAAAACCTTTTTAACACACATATTTATGCCTTAATAATAATAATAATAAGAATAATATTTTGATGTCTCTGCTACAGCCTAGCCGGAGGCATTATGTTTTCTGGTTGTCTGTCTGTCCGTACGTCTGTTCTCGTGATCACGTTATCTCAAGAACCGATTGATGGATTACCGCCAAACTTGGGTCATGTATAATTCTTGCAGAGCTAATGACCAGATAAAATTTTAAGGTCACAAGGTAAAAGGTCACATGGCTTATTATGTATGCAAAAACAGCTTGCGATCGCGTTATCTCTAGAAACGATTAATGGATTAATGGATAATATTAATTGTTTTTAAAAAAGAAGAACAGAAGAAAAGAACAAAGAAAGGATCAAATGATCATGAGTCGTAGCAGTTAGTAGTCTATGAGCAAAGAATTAATTTGGGTATTGGATTCATGTCTGCAAAAGAGCATAGTGGACAGAGTGTTGGTCTTTGAAAGGATTAACCTTGGTTTAGTGCTTGTATAAGGTATTCTTTTTAATTACTCAGTCTCTCAGATAGGACTTAAAGCTGTTGATTCCTCAGAGCTTCAGAGAATAATAATATACATACTTGCAAGCTTGAATTATTAAGGCGTATACAGCTGAATTGGCAGTGACGTGAGGGCAATTGTTCTGATATGTTCATTTGATAGTTCTGTTGTGGGAAGAGCATTGTGTAGTAAAACTACCTTACTTCAAATAATAAATCTGCTTACCGTAATATTCCAAATTGTAGAAGAATCTGAGTACAAATCAAATTTTGATTTGTATGATGAAATTGCATTTACAGATGTTGCGTTTTTTTCCCCTTTCAATTTTTCAGAGCGTATCAAGCACTCAACTTCAAGCATGAAAATCTGTCGCTGATTCAACCCCGATTCGTGGCGCCCCTGCCTCTTCAACCAGCGGTAAGTCTACATCACCACCATAATTTAAAACCAGTCATCATGTGGTTTTAGCTGATGATGAGAGTGACATGGTTTTAGGTGATGTTGATGGGGATGTGGTTTTAGCTGATGATGAGAGTGACATGGTTTTAGCTGATGATGATGGAGGTGTGGTTTTAGCTGATGATGATGGAGGTGTGGTTTTAGCTGATGATGATGTGAAGGTGGTTTTAGCTGATGATGAGAGTGACATGGTTTTAGCTGATGATGATGGAGGTGTGGTTTTAGCTGATGATGATGGAGGTGTGGTTTTAGCTGATGATGATGTGAAGGTGGTTTTAGCTGATGATGAGAGTGACATGGTTTTAGCTGATGATGAGAGTGACATGGTTTTAGGTGATGTTGATGGGGATGTGGTTTTAGCTGATGATGATTGGATGTGGTTTTAGCTGATGATGAGAGTGACATGGTTTTAGCTGATGATGAGAGTGACATGGTTTTAGGTGATGTTGATGGGAGGTGGTTCTAGCTGATGATGATGTGGATGGGGTTTTAGCTGATGATGAGCGTGACATGGTTTTAGCTGATGATGATGGGGATGTGGTTTTAGCTGATGATGATGGGATGTGGTTTTAGCTGATGATGAGAGCGAGGTGGTTTTAGCTGATGATGATGGGATGTGGTTTTATCTGATGTTGATGGGGATGTGGTTTTAGCTGATGATGATGGGAGGGGGTTTTAGCTGATGATGATGTAGATGCGGTTTTAGCTGATGATGAGAGTGACGTGGTTTTAGCTGATGATGATGTCGATGTGGTTTAAGTTGATGATGAGAGTGACATGGTTCTAGCTGATATTGATCGGGATGTGGTTTTAGCTGATGATGAGAGTTACATGTTTTTAGCTGATGATGTTGGGGATGTGGTTTTAGATTATGAAGGTGGTGATGTTTTTTTAATTGGTCCTACACGAAAAGGCAAAGGCCCGACATGTCAAAACTGCTGCTTTTGGGGGCTAATCACTACAGGAGGCTGCAACCCTTGCCCTCCTTTTAAATATAGCTTTTTCATCTTCAAAACAAAGTAGTACCCGGAAGAAAAATATCTGGTCCTTTGAAATGCTTACAGCTTTGAACAACCCCAAAAAAATTCTGCCCATGGTGTATAACCCCTTCATAAGTTCTTCTAAACACAACTATTATATCAATCTCTTTACCCGAAGGGCATACAAAACCATTCCATGTCATATCAGAACAAAGGCCTTTTTATGTAGACTCTTTCCCCCGCAGGTACTGAAGATCATCTGGAGTATCATGTTCATGAGTGTGGAGACATCTTAAACCATCAGCATGAAGCTACCGGCAGACTCAACCGACGCTAAACACATTATGGAGCATGTCTTTGCACAGGTGTCGGAATTCAAGAAACTCAACCAAGTAAGATCATGAACAGGGAAATTCCCTTTTTGATGAGATATGGGATCATATTGTGTGAGAGCAGTATACCATGTTGGTAGTTTTCATTTAAAGATGACATATTTCTTTCTTGAAATGTTCCTGAACTTTCACTCTGCACTTATTCTTATGCCTCCGCTACAAAGTAGCCGGAGGCAGTATGTTTTCTGGTTGTCCGTCCGTCCGTACTTCCCGTTCTCGTGATCGCTTTATCTCAAGAACCAATTAATGGATTACCGCCAAACTTTGGTCATGTATGTATCTTGCAGAGCTAATGAAGTGGTTAGATTTTGGGGTCACGAGGTCAAAGGTCACAGGGCTTATTACGTATGTATAAATAGCTTGTGATTGCGTTATCTCAAGAACCGATTAATAGATTCCCGCCAAACTTGGGTTCATCTGTACTCACTTATCTTTTTGTTTCAATTTCAATTTCATTTTGTTCATGTTTCCAACAAAACATTACGAAGCAATTATAAGCATTTAAAACAAATGTAGAAATACATGTTGGAAACAGACAGGTCCACTAAAAAGCAATGCTTGTATATGTGTGAACACCTAATGAGATACTAAAGTGCAGTATGCTCAAAGCACCCACGTTCACCACAGCATTTGGGAACAAGCTGTATGTTGCATGGAAATTGCAGCTTGTACCTACAGCTGATCTTCGTTATTTAATAGTATTTTTCACTGATAACATTCTTTATTACACTTCTGGGCTCCTATTCACTTTACTCTTCATGGTTTGTCTATTAGGAAAATAGTAAGATATTGAAATAAAGAGAGATGTAATATAATTTGTGTTCTCTTACTTTGTTCAGGCGACTGGAGTGCGTCCATACACAGGGAACGTTGGAGCAGATGATGTTGATGGTGTAGACATGGCTTACAGGGTAGTGGCTGATCATATTCGCACATTGACCATAGCTCTCTTGGACGGAGCTGGCCAGATAATGTTGGAAGAGGGTGAGTCCTTTTGAATGGATTTTCTAGCCCTCATTTGATCTTATTACAGTCTAATGGTTGGCAATACTTTACATGCCATACATTAAAATTACCTAAAGTTTGGTTCTATTTAACAACACATGGGATACATAATACATAAGATGGAATTTAAAAAACCTTTTTAACACACATATTTATGCCTTAATAATAATAATAATAAGAATAATATTTTGATGTCTCTGCTACAGCCTAGCCGGAGGCATTATGTTTTCTGGTTGTCTGTCTGTCCGTACGTCTGTTCTCGTGATCACGTTATCTCAAGAACCGATTGATGGATTACCGCCAAACTTGGGTCATGTATAATTCTTGCAGAGCTAATGACCAGATAAAATTTTAAGGTCACAAGGTAAAAGGTCACATGGCTTATTATGTATGCAAAAACAGCTTGCGATCGCGTTATCTCTAGAAACGATTAATGGATTAATGGATAATATTAATTGTTTTAAAAAAAAGAAGAACAGAAGAAAAGAACAAAGAAAGGATCAAATGATCATGAGTCGTAGCAGTTAGTAGTCTATGAGCAAAGAATTAATTTGGGTATTGGATTCATGTCTGCAAAAGAGCATAGTGGACAGAGTGTTGGTCTTTGAAAGGATTAACCTTGGTTTAGTGCTTGTATAAGGTATTCTTTTTAATTACTCAGTCTCTCAGATAGGACTTAAAGCTGTTGATTCCTCAGAGCTTCAGAGAATAATAATATACATACTTGCAAGCTTGAATTATTAAGGCGTATACAGCTGAATTGGCAGTGACGTGAGGGCAATTGTTCTGATATGTTCATTTGATAGTTCTGTTGTGGGAAGAGCATTGTGTAGTAAAACTACCTTACTTCAAATAATAAATCTGCTTACCGTAATATTCCAAATTGTAGAAGAATCTGAGTACAAATCAAATTTTGATTTGTATGATGAAATTGCATTTACAGATGTTGCGTTTTTTTCCCCTTTCAATTTTTCAGAGCGTATCAAGCACTCAACTTCAAGCATGAAAATCTGTCGCTGATTCAACCCCGATTCGTGGCGCCCCTGCCTCTTCAACCAGCGGTAAGTCTACATCACCACCATAATTTAAAACCAGTCATCATGTGGTTTTAGCTGATGATGAGAGTGACATGGTTTTAGGTGATGTTGATGGGGATGTGGTTTTAGCTGATGATGAGAGTGACATGGTTTTAGCTGATGATGATGGAGGTGTGGTTTTAGCTGATGATGATGGAGGTGTGGTTTTAGCTGATGATGATGTGAAGGTGGTTTTAGCTGATGATGAGAGTGACATGGTTTTAGCTGATGATGATGGAGGTGTGGTTTTAGCTGATGATGATGGAGGTGTGGTTTTAGCTGATGATGATGTGAAGGTGGTTTTAGCTGATGATGAGAGTGACATGGTTTTAGCTGATGATGAGAGTGACATGGTTTTAGGTGATGTTGATGGGGATGTGGTTTTAGCTGATGATGATTGGATGTGGTTTTAGCTGATGATGAGAGTGACATGGTTTTAGCTGATGATGAGAGTGACATGGTTTTAGGTGATGTTGATGGGAGGTGGTTCTAGCTGATGATGATGTGGATGGGGTTTTAGCTGATGATGAGCGTGACATGGTTTTAGCTGATGATGATGGGGATGTGGTTTTAGCTGATGATGATGGGATGTGGTTTTAGCTGATGATGAGAGCGAGGTGGTTTTAGCTGATGATGATGGGATGTGGTTTTATCTGATGTTGATGGGGATGTGGTTTTAGCTGATGATGATGGGAGGGGGTTTTAGCTGATGATGATGTAGATGCGGTTTTAGCTGATGATGAGAGTGACGTGGTTTTAGCTGATGATGATGTCGATGTGGTTTAAGTTGATGATGAGAGTGACATGGTTCTAGCTGATATTGATCGGGATGTGGTTTTAGCTGATGATGAGAGTTACATGTTTTTAGCTGATGATGTTGGGGATGTGGTTTTAGATTATGAAGGTGGTGATGTTTTTTTAATTGGTCCTACACGAAAAGGCAAAGGCCCGACATGTCAAAACTGCTGCTTTTGGGGGCTAATCACTACAGGAGGCTGCAACCCTTGCCCTCCTTTTAAATATAGCTTTTTCATCTTCAAAACAAAGTAGTACCCGGAAGAAAAATATCTGGTCCTTTGAAATGCTTACAGCTTTGAACAACCCCAAAAAAATTCTGCCCATGGTGTATAACCCCTTCATAAGTTCTTCTAAACACAACTATTATATCAATCTCTTTACCCGAAGGGCATACAAAACCATTCCATGTCATATCAGAACAAAGGCCTTTTTATGTAGACTCTTTCCCCCGCAGGTACTGAAGATCATCTGGAGTATCATGTTCATGAGTGTGGAGACATCTTAAACCATCAGCATGAAGCTACCGGCAGACTCAACCGACGCTAAACACATTATGGAGCATGTCTTTGCACAGGTGTCGGAATTCAAGAAACTCAACCAAGTAAGATCATGAACAGGGAAATTCCCTTTTTGATGAGATATGGGATCATATTGTGTGAGAGCAGTATACCATGTTGGTAGTTTTCATTTAAAGATGACATATTTCTTTCTTGAAATGTTCCTGAACTTTCACTCTGCACTTATTCTTATGCCTCCGCTACAAAGTAGCCGGAGGCAGTATGTTTTCTGGTTGTCCGTCCGTCCGTACTTCCCGTTCTCGTGATCGCTTTATCTCAAGAACCAATTAATGGATTACCGCCAAACTTTGGTCATGTATGTATCTTGCAGAGCTAATGAAGTGGTTAGATTTTGGGGTCACGAGGTCAAAGGTCACAGGGCTTATTACGTATGTATAAATAGCTTGTGATTGCGTTATCTCAAGAACCGATTAATAGATTCCCGCCAAACTTGGGTTCATCTGTACTCACTTATCTTTTTGTTTCAATTTCAATTTCATTTTGTTCATGTTTCCAACAAAACATTACGAAGCAATTATAAGCATTTAAAACAAATGTAGAAATACATGTTGGAAACAGACAGGTCCACTAAAAAGCAATGCTTGTATATGTGTGAACACCTAATGAGATACTAAAGTGCAGTATGCTCAAAGCACCCACGTTCACCACAGCATTTGGGAACAAGCTGTATGTTGCATGGAAATTGCAGCTTGTACCTACAGCTGATCTTCGTTATTTAATAGTATTTTTCACTGATAACATTCTTTATTACACTTCTGGGCTCCTATTCACTTTACTCTTCATGGTTTGTCTATTAGGAAAATAGTAAGATATTGAAATAAAGAGAGATGTAATATAATTTGTGTTCTCTTACTTTGTTCAGGCGACTGGAGTGCGTCCATACACAGGGAACGTTGGAGCAGATGATGTTGATGGTGTAGACATGGCTTACAGGGTAGTGGCTGATCATATTCGCACATTGACCATAGCTCTCTTGGACGGAAGCTGGCCAGATAATGTTGGAAGAGGGTGAGTCCTTTTGAATGGATTTTCTAGCCCTCATTTGATCTTATTACAGTCTAATGGTTGGCAATACTTTACATGCCATACATTAAAATTACCTAAAGTTTGGTTCTATTTAACAACACATGGGATACATAATACAAAAGATGGAATTTAAAAAACCTTTTTAACACACATATTTATGCCTTAATAATAATAATAATAAGAATAATATTTTGATGTCTCTGCTACAGCCTAGCCGGAGGCATTATGTTTTCTGGTTGTCTGTCTGTCCGTACGTCTGTTCTCGTGATCACGTTATCTCAAGAACCGATTGATGGATTACCGCCAAACTTGGGTCATGTATAATTCTTGCAGAGCTAATGACCAGATAAAATTTTAAGGTCACAAGGTAAAAGGTCACATGGCTTATTATGTATGCAAAAACAGCTTGCGATCGTGTTATCTCTAGAAACGATTAATGGATTAATGGATAATATTAATTGTTTAAAAAAAAAGAAGAACAGAAGAAAAGAACAAAGAAAGGATCAAATGATCATGAGTCGTAGCAGTTAGTAGTCTATGAGCAAAGAATTAATTTGGGTATTGGATTCATGTCTGCAAAAGAGCATAGTGGACAGAGTGTTGGTCTTTGAAAGGATTAACCTTGGTTTAGTGCTTGTATAAGGTATTCTTTTTAATTACTCAGTCTCTCAGATAGGACTTAAAGCTGTTGATTCCTCAGAGCTTCAGAGAATAATAATATACATACTTGCAAGCTTGAATTATTAAGGCGTATACAGCTGAATTGGCAGTGACGTGAGGGCAATTGTTCTGATATGTTCATTTGATAGTTCTGTTGTGGGAAGAGCATTGTGTAGTAAAACTACCTTACTTCAAATAATAAATCTGCTTACCGTAATATTCCAAATTGTAGAAGAATCTGAGTACAAATCAAATTTTGATTTGTATGATGAAATTGCATTTACAGATGTTGCGTTTTTTTCCCCTTTCAATTTTTCAGAGCGTATCAAGCACTCAACTTCAAGCATGAAAATCTGTCGCTGATTCAACCCCGATTCGTGGCGCCCCTGCCTCTTCAACCAGCGGTAAGTCTACATCACCACCATAATTTAAAACCAGTCATCATGTGGTTTTAGCTGATGATGAGAGTGACATGGTTTTAGGTGATGTTGATGGGGATGTGGTTTTAGCTGATGATGAGAGTGACATGGTTTTAGCTGATGATGATGGAGGTGTGGTTTTAGCTGATGATGATGGAGGTGTGGTTTTAGCTGATGTTGATGTGAACGTGGTTTTAGCTGATGATGAGAGTGACATGGTTTTAGCTGATGATGATGGAGGTGTGGTTTTAGCTGATGATGATGGAGGTGTGGTTTTAGCTGATGATGATGTGAAGGTGGTTTTAGCTGATGATGAGAGTGACATGGTTTTAGCTGATGATGAGAGTGACATGGTTTTAGGTGATGTTGATGGGGATGTGGTTTTAGCTGATGATGATTGGATGTGGTTTTAGCTGATGATGAGAGTGACATGGTTTTAGCTGATGATGAGAGTGACATGGTTTTAGGTGATGTTGATGGGAGGTGGTTCTAGCTGATGATGATGTGGATGGGGTTTTAGCTGATGATGAGCGTGACATGGTTTTAGCTGATGATGATGGGGATGTGGTTTTAGCTGATGATGATGGGATGTGGTTTTAGCTGATGATGAGAGCGAGGTGGTTTTAGCTGATGATGATGGGATGTGGTTTTATCTGATGTTGATGGGGATGTGGTTTTAGCAGATGATGATGGGAGGGGGTTTTAGCTGATGATGATGTAGATGCGGTTTTAGCTGATGATGAGAGTGACGTGGTTTTAGCTGATGATGATGTCGATGTGGTTTAAGTTGATGATGAGAGTGACATGGTTCTAGCTGATATTGATCGGGATGTGGTTTTAGCTGATGATGAGAGTTACATGTTTTTAGCTGATGATGTTGGGGATGTGGTTTTAGATTATGAAGGTGGTGATGTTTTTTTAATTGGTCCTACACGAAAAAGCAAAGGCCCGACATGTCAAAACTGCTGCTTTTGGGGGCTAATCACTACAGGAGGCTGCAACCCTTGCCCTCCTTTTAAATATAGCTTTTTCATCTTCAAAACAAAGTAGTACCCGGAAGAAAAATATCTGGTCCTTTGAAATGCTTACAGCTTTGAACAACCCCAAAAAAATTCTGCCCATGGTGTATAACCCCTTCATAAGTTCTTCTAAACACAACTATTATATCAATCTCTTTACCCGAAGGGCATACAAAACCATTCCATGTCATATCAGAACAAAGGCCTTTTTATGTAGACTCTTTCCCCCGCAGGTACTGAAGATCATCTGGAGTATCATGTTCATGAGTGTGGAGACATCTTAAACCATCAGCATGAAGCTACCGGCAGACTCAACCGACGCTAAACACATTATGGAGCATGTCTTTGCACAGGTGTCTGAATTCAAGAAACTCAACCAAGTAAGATCATGAACAGGGAAATTCCCTTTTTGATGAGATATGGGATCATATTGTGTGAGAGCAGTATACCATGTTGGTAGTTTTCATTTAAAGATGACATATTTCTTTCTTGAAATGTTCCTGAACTTTCACTCTGCACTTATTCTTATGCCTCCGCTACAAAGTAGCCGGAGGCAGTATGTTTTCTGGTTGTCCGTCCGTCCGTACTTCCCGTTCTCGTGATCGCTTTATCTCAAGAACCAATTAATGGATTACCGCCAAACTTTGGTCATGTATGTATCTTGCAGAGCTAATGAAGTGGTTAGATTTTGGGGTCACGAGGTCAAAGGTCACAGGGCTTATTACGTATGTATAAATAGCTTGTGATTGCGTTATCTCAAGAACCGATTAATAGATTCCCGCCAAACTTGGGTTCATCTGTACTCACTTATCTTTTTGTTTCAATTTCAATTTCATTTTGTTCATGTTTCCAACAAAACATTACGAAGCAATTATAAGCATTTAAAACAAATGTAGAAATACATGTTGGAAACAGACAGGTCCACTAAAAAGCAATGCTTGTATATGTGTGAACACCTAATGAGATACTAAAGTGCAGTATGCTCAAAGCACCCACGTTCACCACAGCATTTGGGAACAAGCTGTATGTTGCATGGAAATTGCAGCTTGTACCTACAGCTGATCTTCGTTATTTAATAGTATTTTTCACTGATAACATTCTTTATTACACTTCTGGGCTCCTATTCACTTTACTCTTCATGGTTTGTCTATTAGGAAAATAGTAAGATATTGAAATAAAGAGAGATGTAATATAATTTGTGTTCTCTTACTTTGTTCAGGCGACTGGAGTGCGTCCATACACAGGGAACGTTGGAGCAGATGATGTTGATGGTGTAGACATGGCTTACAGGGTAGTGGCTGATCATATTCGCACATTGACCATAGCTCTCTTGGACGGAAGCTGGCCAGATAATGTTGGAAGAGGGTGAGTCCTTTTGAATGGATTTTCTAGCCCTCATTTGATCTTATTACAGTCTAATGGTTGGCAATACTTTACATGCCATACATTAAAATTACCTAAAGTTTGGTTCTATTTAACAACACATGGGATACATAATACATAAGATGGAATTTAAAAAACCTTTTTAACACACATATTTATGCCTTAATAATAATAATAATAAGAATAATATTTTGATGTCTCTGCTACAGCCTAGCCGGAGGCATTATGTTTTCTGGTTGTCTGTCTGTCCGTACGTCTGTTCTCGTGATCACGTTATCTCAAGAACCGATTGATGGATTACCGCCAAACTTGGGTCATGTATAATTCTTGCAGAGCTAATGACCAGATAAAATTTTAAGGTCACAAGGTAAAAGGTCACATGGCTTATTATGTATGCAAAAACAGCTTGCGATCGCGTTATCTCTAGAAACGATTAATGGATTAATGGATAATATTAATTGTTTTTAAAAAAAGAAGAACAGAAGAAAAGAACAAAGAAAGGATCAAATGATCATGAGTCGTAGCAGTTAGTAGTCTATGAGCAAAGAATTAATTTGGGTATTGGATTCATGTCTGCAAAAGAGCATAGTGGACAGAGTGTTGGTCTTTGAAAGGATTAACCTTGGTTTAGTGCTTGTATAAGGTATTCTTTTTAATTACTCAGTCTCTCAGATAGGACTTAAAGCTGTTGATTCCTCAGAGCTTCAGAGAATAATAATATACATACTTGCAAGCTTGAATTATTAAGGCGTATACAGCTGAATTGGCAGTGACGTGAGGGCAATTGTTCTGATATGTTCATTTGATAGTTCTGTTGTGGGAAGAGCATTGTGTTGTAAAACTACCTTACTTCAAATAATAAATCTGCTTACCGTAATATTCCAAATTGTAGAAGAATCTGAGTACAAATCAAATTTTGATTTGTATGATGAAATTGCATTTACAGATGTTGCGTTTTTTTCCCCTTTCAATTTTTCAGAGCGTATCAAGCACTCAACTTCAAGCATGAAAATCTGTCGCTGATTCAACCCCGATTCGTGGCGCCCCTGCCTCCTCTTCAACCAGCGGTAAGTCTACATCACCACCATAATTTAAAACCAGTCATCATGTGGTTTTAGCTGATGATGAGAGTGACATGGTTTTAGGTGATGTTGATGGGGATGTGGTTTTAGCTGATGATGAGAGTGACATGGTTTTAGCTGATGATGAGAGTGACATGGTTTTAGCTGATGATGATGGAGGTGTGGTTTTAGCTGATGATGATGTGAAGGTGGTTTTAGCTGATGATGAGAGTGACATGGTTTTAGCTGATGATGAGAGTGACATGGTTTTAGGTGATGTTGATGGGGATGTGGTTTTAGCTGATGATGATTGGATGTGGTTTTAGCTGATGATGAGAGTGACATGGTTTTAGGTGATTTTGATGGGGATGTGGTTTTAGCTGATGATGAGAGCGAGGTGGTTTTAGCTGATGATGATGGGATGTGGTTTTATCTGATGTTGATGGGGATGTGGTTTTAGCTGATGATGATGGGAGGGGGTTTTAGCTGATGATGATGTAGATGCGGTTTTAGCTGATGATGAGAGTGACGTGGTTTTAGCTGATGATGATGTCGATGTGGTTTAAGTTGATGATGAGAGTGACATGGTTCTAGCTGATATTGATCGGGATGTGGTTTTAGCTGATGATGAGAGTTACATGTTTTTAGCTGATGATGTTGGGGATGTGGTTTTAGATTATGAAGGTGGTGATGTTTTTTTAATTGGTCCTACACGAAAAGGCAAAGGCCCGACATGTCAAAACTGCTGCTTTTGGGGGCTAATCACTACAGGAGGCTGCAACCCTTGCCCTCCTTTTAAATATAGCTTTTTCATCTTCAAAACAAAGTAGTACCCGGAAGAAAAATATCTGGTCCTTTGAAATGCTTACAGCTTTGAACAACCCCAAAAAAATTCTGCCCATGGTGTATAACCCCTTCATAAGTTCTTCTAAACACAACTATTATATCAATCTCTTTACCCGAAGGGCATACAAAACCATTCCATGTCATATCAGAACAAAGGCCTTTTTATGTAGACTCTTTCCCCCGCAGGTACTGAAGATCATCTGGAGTATCATGTTCATGAGTGTGGAGACATCTTAAACCATCAGCATGAAGCTACCGGCAGACTCAACCGACGCTAAACACATTATGGAGCATGTCTTTGCACAGGTGTCGGAATTCAAGAAACTCGACCAAGTAAGATCATGAACAGGGAAATTCCCTTTTTGATGAGATATGGGATCATATTGTGTGAGAGCAGTATACCATGTTGGTAGTTTTCATTTAAAGATGACATATTTCTTTCTTGAAATGTTCCTGAACTTTCACTCTGCACTTATTCTCATGCCTCCGCTACAAAGTAGCCGGAGGCAGTATGTTTTCTGGTTGTCCGTCCGTCCGTACGTCCCGTTCTCGTGATCGCTTTATCTCAAGAACCAATTAATGGATTACCGCCAAACTTTGGTCATGTATGTATCTTGTAGAGCTAATGAAGTGGTTAGATTTTGGGGTCACGAGGTCAAAGGTCACAGGGCTTATTACGTATGTATAAATAGCTTGTGATTGCGTTATCTCAAGAACCGATTAATAGATTCCCGCCAAACTTGGGTTCATCTGTACTCACTTATCTTTTTGTTTCAATTTCAATTTCATTTTGTTCATGTTTCCAACAAAACATTACGAAGCAATTATAAGCATTTAAAACAAATGTAGAAATACATGTTGGAAACAGACAGGTCCACTAAAAAGCAATGCTTGTATATGTGTGAACACCTAATGAGATACTAAAGTGCAGTATGCTCGAAGCACCCACGTTCACCACAGCATTTGGGAACAAGCTGTATGTTGCATGGAAATTGCAGCTTGTACCTACAGCTGATCTTCGTTATTTAATAGTATTTTTCACTGATAACATTCTTTATTACACTTCTAGGCTCCTATTCACTTTACTCTTCATGGTTTTTCTATTAGGAAAATAGTAAGATATTGAAATAAAGAGAGATGTAATATAATTTGTGTTCTCTTACTTTGTTCAGGCGACTGGAGTGCGTCTATACACAGGGAACGTTGGAGCAGATGATGTTGATGGTGTAGACATGGCTTACAGGGTAGTGGCTGATCATATTTGCACATTGACCATAGTTCTCTTGGACGGAAGCTGGCCAGATAATGTTGGAAGAGGGTGAGTCCTTTTGAATGGATTTTCTAGCCCTCATTTGATCCTATTACAGTCTAATGGTTGGCAATACCTTACATGCCATACATTAAATTACCTAAAGTTTGGTTCTATTTAACAACACAAGGGATACATAATACATAAGATGAAATTTAAAAAACCTTTTTAACACACATATTTATGCCTTAATAATAATAATGATAATAATAATATTTTGATGTCTCTGCTACAGCCTAGCCGGAGGCATTATGTTTTCTGGTTGTTCGTCTGTCCGTACGTCTGTTCTTGTGACAGACCTGCCCAACCAGTACGATTTAGTCGTATTTAGTACAATTTTTAGAAGCAAATACGACAGTACGATTTTTCTCAATAGAATATGATTTTCAATTTTTTTATTTTTTTTATTTATTTTTTTTAAAATATTTTTTGTTGTTGTTGGTATTTTGTGTGTGTGTGTGCCATTTTCAATGGCAAAATGCCCATTCTGTCCTATAAAGCATCTCACATCGGCAATTTGGGATGTTCATTGGTTCATCGAACACACCAGTCGTGACGAAATCATGTATATTCAACCAATGATCCATAAAAAAAAAATCTTCCTGTATGTAGGAACTCTAAGAGGCATTGATCCGCGTAACAGTCGCGTGTTTATTTTTAAGAATACAACTTTTGTCAGCAAAATACAACTTTTGGGATTAACGAATACAGTTTTTGAACTCCAGAGGTTGGCAAGTCTGTTGTGATCACGTTATCTCAAGAACCGATTAATGGATTCCCGCCAAACTTTGGGCATGTATGTATCTTGCAGAGCCGATGAAGTGATTAGATTTTGGGGTCACGAGGTCAAAGGTCACATTGCTCATTATGTATGCAAAAACAGCTTGTGATCACACTATCACTAGAACCGATGGACGGATTAGCATCAAACTCTAAACATGTATGTATCTTGCAGAGCCTAAGAAAGGCCAGTTTCGTAATGTATTCACAGACCTTTAAATCGCATTACGTAATCGGATGGTCGGTCAAACAAAGAACTCGCGGTGCATAGCAGCCTACACTCTGTGTGCATACAATACATGACTGTGTTTGCAAGGTGTGATTGTATTATTTGCTTTCGCTATTATGAGAGAGAGAGAGAAGAAAATGGAGGCAGTTTCAAACTTGAATAATAAATATCTTTGAGATGTGATTTTGTTCCACATACATTTGATCTTAAAACTGAGTACAAATTTGGACGTAGAAATGAAAGAAGTGATGAACTATTTTCCACCCGTTCGCACACCAGTCACCTCTGCTTGCAGAAGAATGTGCGTGCGCGTGCTTACCACGTGTACATGTACGTGTAGGCGCGATTCACATTTTCATAATGAAAACAAATTTACGGATTAAAAAAAGTTTGTGAAACGCCTCGATACAAACTATTTCAAGGCGGACGAGAAATGGCTAACGAGAAGCAAGCACAGTAAACACAGAATTAATGTTATTAACAAAAGTAACGAGAAATAATGATAATAAAGGTAATAATGGTGACACTATAAGTTCTTTGTATTGATAAAACACATTTTCATAATGAGAACAAATTTACGGATTAAAAAATGTTTGTGAAACGCCTCGATACAAACTATTTCAAGGCGGACGAGAAACGGCTAACGAGAAGCAAGCACAGTGAACACAGAATCAATGTTATTAACAAAAGTAACGAGAAATAATGATAATAAAGGTAATAATGGTGACACTATAAGTTCTTTGTATTGATAAAATAATATTTATTAAAAATGTCATCCGTTGACAGAGAACTAGAATAAGAAGGATGAATAATGACGAACAACTATTTTTGAGCGGAATAAAAAAAATGAAAAACAATGAGCAAGGAAGAAGAATGTGTGAAGTAAAGATTGATAAATAATGATAGAGCAATGGAAAAAAGGAGTAATAAAAGTAATAATAAAAAACAGTTATGAAAGCAAGGCAGAAGAATAAGGATGATGAATAATCTTATTGTTTAACCCTAACCCTAATTAGATTCATAGAATCGGTCTTTTTTTTTTATAATTGCTTCTAATTTAGTTATCCTTGGTCGATTTCCTTCAGGTTTTTTAAGGTGGACTCTTAGATAGTTGGGCTTTCATCTAACATGAGTATTGCGGCGGAATAATGCTCGTCCGGTAATTAAATTGACCTGAACTCTAAAGGTGCCTCGGTGTAATTTTTGGGTCGCCGGTGTATGTCCTATACACTGTTTTGGAAAATGTCATTAGCTCACACAATTCTTCATCGATTTTGTTCATTTTTTTTTAAAATGAAAGCTATTGAGTTGCTTAATCTTCACAGATCTGCTTTTTAAATTTCAAATATGGAAAAGTGTTGAAAATGGTACTTTAGTAAAAATTTACTTACCCTTTGGTACCTTTGCTGGTTCATAGGGTTTAATACCCCTATTAAACTCAAGGATTTTGCTAGATAGCGGTTGGGGCCACTAACTCCTAAGCCCTGATGGTTTTTTTCTTTAAACTAGCACTTTAAAAAATGATTTATTCATTTCTCTAAAAAATGAAGTAAAACTGAGGATAACAATTGACCATATGAATTTTTGTTTGAGGTGATAAAAAGGTCGGACTAATCGAGGCCCTTATAAATTTAAATAAAATATGCACTGCTTAGTGCATCTTATCATGAGCATATCCTGAAAAAATTAGCAAAATTGGTTAATTATTTAATTAATTACAAGCAATTTCAAAAAAAAAGTTTAGGACGCTATTTCTCGAAATTCGCTTTTTGGCAAATTTTCAATTAGTCTTTTTGGGCTGAAATTTGAAGATATGACTTGGGGGCTGCTTTAATTTTAACATTTAAACCCTATTTAACATTAAATATTCATTTGTTTCTTTGTTTTTAATCATAAAACCAAAATATTAGCAAACAAAAATATCCCCCGAAATACGAAAAATCTAATATTCACCATAGGTTTGTACAGTGTAGGCCAAAAAATAGGTGCTCTACAAAAGTTCTTTAAAAAAACATTTTTACATTGAAGCCACAAAATATACCATACTCCAATTGATCTTTGATAATCCAGGCCTACTTTCTTGCAATTGGTTTTTTATTAATTGTTATGCTTTTTCCTTAAAAAGTAATACAAAAATTAATTTTTCCCATCAATTCCCGCCATTTGTACTTTTCTCACGTAGAGGGAGCTTCACACAATAACAAACGAATCAACGTAACAGTAGAAACTAAACAAACAAAAGTAGATTCATTCCAGCGGGCAGTCAGCTCTTATTATTCATTTAAATGGTGAGTTTTGAAATGTATTGTGCCCTATATTTATCTGACTGTCCATTTATACTAATTTAGACTTTGATCAATCCACTTTCTCTCGATAGGTCATGAAATTGTACACAACTTTGTGAGATATGCAACTTTGCGTGAACAACAAGCACTCCCCCCTAAACACAGGAAGGTTGTCCGCCGAAACTCCAGGCCTGGCATTAGGCCTCTGCCTGGTATGACTCTGACTGTGAAGCAGATAGATCTTATATCAATTAGTCTACTTGTTAGATGCCAAAAAGCATAATTGCAATAAGCCATAAGGTAAGTAGGACTACACTTTATTGTGTTATTGTGCTAATACTGAATGCCCATGATATCGCAGCTTCGGACGTCGGTACGTACAGTATCGGCATGTTCAAGATTCACCCCCTTATGGCTGTTGTTCTAGGCTTATTTTTTGTATTTCTCATTTCTTGGCATTGGTACTGCACATACAGAATGCAAAGACATGCACGATAATAAAGAGAGCTTTCCTGACCTAGCATGTGCAAGGGAAAATTAAAAATAAGCCTCGTTTTGTTGCATTATTGTGCGAATACTGATTGTCAATGATTATCGCAGCATCAGTACAGCACCTGCAGGTTTAAGATTTACCCCCCTTATTTTTTGTATTTCTCATTTGTTGGCATTGACAGTTCACATATAGAATGCAAAGACATGCACGATAATAAAGAGAGCTTTCCTGACCTAGCATATGCAAGGGAAAATCAAAAATAAGCCTTGGTTTGTTGCATTATTGTGCGAATACTGATTGGCCATGATTATCGCAGCATCTGTACACCACCAGCATGCATGTTTAAGATTCACCCCCCTAATTTTTGGTATTTCTCATTTGTTGGCACTGACAATGCACATATAGAATGCAAAGACATGTACGATAATAAAGAGAGCTTTCCTGACGTGACCTAGCATATGCAAGGAAAAATTCAATTTTGCCTCTTATTGTTGCGTTATTGTGCAAATACTAAATCTCCATGATATTGCAGCGTCGGTACAGCACCAGCATGTTTAAGATTCACCCCCCTTATATTTTGTATTTCTCATTTGTTGGCATTGACACTTCACATATCAAATGCAAAGACATGTACGATAATAAAGATAGCTTTCCTGACCTAGTATTTGCAAGGAAAAATTCAAAAAAGGCATATGAAGGCTACGTTAATGCACGAATACAGAATGTTCATGTTCAGCATCCGTATAGCATCGACATGTTGAAGATCCACCCCCCCCCCTTATTTTTTGTATGTCGCATTTGTTGGCATTGACATTTACACATAAAATGTAAAGACATAAAACAGCCGTCCTGACCTAGCATATACAAGGAAAAATTCAAAAAAGGTCTCTGATTGCTGCGTTATGGTGCATAAAAGTTGTCAGCGTCACTAAACATAGGACATTTTCTAATTCCCCCCCCCTCCTCCCCCTTATTATGCTTCAATTCTTTGTTCTACCCAATTTGATGTTTCTAGTGGTCAATTCATTAGAAATGAGTGGAGCCTAAGCCTACTACTTAGGCCAAAGCTAAGTAGGCCTAGCAGAAACTCACGCCGTTCCGATTGAGTACATATAACGGAGTGACACCTGAAATCAGAGTAATCACGTGATCGGAATATTTTACCTCGCCACTAAAATCCCAGGTGGACCTAGCAGTCCCACATTACTTTGCGGTGCCTTAGGCATCGATGCCAACTTATTCACAACCTTTTAACCCACTAAATCAGAGCAGTGTATTTATCCGGATAATACGCGTAGATAGAAACTGCCCATTCCCTGGTACTATATGCTATTTTCCGGAAAACAAATGAACCGGATAATTTCAGTAAAACTAATAGAAACATGCTGTTTGTGTTCCTTCTTTCTATCACAATCTCCTCTTTCTTTCATCATGTCTTCATTTCCTTCTCAATTGTCATTGTCCCTTATATTGCATTCTCTATCTCAAATGTCACTTTTCCTCATATTGTTTTCCTCAGAAAATTCATGCAAAGGACCTGGAAAATCTGCAGAAATAAACCCTAGGACTACTCTGACCAACGGAGGTTGGTGGTTTGGCAGTTGAAGGCTCAAGAAACTTGCTGACCATCCTGGGTACAACCCCAACAGTCAATGCCTCTAGCTACGACAGGCACATAGCCACTTTTAAATCGATATCGCAAGAGGTTAGCCACCAGCTTGGTATTTTATTCATTACATTTTTGTTTTTTTTCCCAAATTTACTCTAAAATAGTATGCTTAAGTTGTGGTCAATAGACAGTAAAGAACATGTTCATCTATTTCTCTTCTTGTCATAATGGTTGAAATGCCTGAGTGAACTTTAAATGAACTTGTATTTATTACATAATCTTGTTCTTTTGTAACTTTGCAGACCAGCGAGGAACACATGAAGAGGGCGGCGGTATGCCTACAACAAAGGGCAATGGACAAGGACCTGACCATCAGGAAAAATGACCGTTCTATCCGTTCTTCTTTACTACTTCTACTACCTCCACTACCACCCTATCCGTTCTCCCTTGCTCCCCTCCCTCTTTCATTCTCGCCAGATCTGGCAATCATTAAATATCTTAATATTTCTTACCCCTCCCTCATCTGTCTTTCTTTCTCTCTCCTGAATGGACAATGCTCTTCCTTACTTTTATTACTACCTCTGCTACCACCTTACTCTACAACCTTACCTCTGCTCTTCCTTACTACTTCTACTTCCACTTTCCCTCATCATGTTCCCTCTTTCTATAACCATCTCCACGTTCTCTGTCTTTATTATCACCCCCCCCCCCCTTTTTATTGCATTCTCTATCTCAACTGCCACTTTCCATCATATTGGTTTCACTCACTATCTCAATTTCAACTTTCCCTGTGTTTTTGTTCTCTCTCTCTCTCTCTCTCTCTCTCAAGTGCATTTCATCTCATATTTCATACTACCCTACCTGCTCTTCCTTACTACTTCTACTTCCACTTCCACTTTCCCTCATCATGTTCCCTCTTTCTATCTCCATTTATCTCATATTTCATACTGTGAAATTGAAATTAAGGACTGGAATTACAAGAAATGATGTGAAACGTTCGTTACGGTGTAAGAAAATTACATTTAATCTTTTGCATGCCTAAAGTGCGAATTCTTTTAAATATATATGACACAAACTGCTATTATTAATGAACTTTAATATATAGCTTCATGTTTGCTGTAAACTCTTTTTTATTTTACTTGGGTGGGTTCGAGTCCCGCGAAGCTGTTTATAACACGAGAGCTTTCATGGTGCCAGTACAATATAATTGGGTTATATACACATCCCCTTATACAATATACACATACACACTCGTCAGCCTCATCGGGTATAGGGCTAATACTTATGCACTGTAATTTAAAATTATACATTTTTTAAAGCTTATCTGCCATAGTTTACAGGAGGGATTAGACCGCCCTGCAAGGTCACTGGACAGGTGGTTATCTCATCAACTCAGCTCTCAGTTAACATAAGAAAAAGAGCATCGTGGGAGACCAATGGTCACCGATTAGGCATTGTTTGTTATATAGAGGGCGCAAGTAGCTACAAGTAGTGCAGTGGGCCTTTAAAGCTTCCAATAGAAGTACAGATTTCCTCATAGTTTCAGGTAAATCGTTCCAAAGCTTAGGACCGGTAAAACGGGTATTCTTTTGAAAAATATGTTTATAGTGTACAGGAATATATATTTAATATAATACAAATAAGGAAAATCGAGCATATGACAGTGCGGCATGTCACTAATTGAAATACAGCCCATGTTATGCATATAACTGTTTCATGAAACAATACAAAAGTTCAAAAATGCCATAACTCAATCATTTTTACGTCCAATGTAGATAATTATGATTTTTTTATTTGACTCAACTCATATTTAGTTCGGACATAATACAAAACTATCTCCTATGTCCTGCTCAAAGTGTTTTATTAATGACAATTGAAGGTTTTTATTGATACAATTGTACCTTCATATTCATAAAAAGCATATCATAATCATCATGTCAAAAGTAAAAGAACAAGAATAGAAAGAAGAATCACAAAAACTACTTTTACAAAACATTCAGACTTACTGACAAGTGTGCACTGCCATTTCTTAAACATTTCATTAGAATATCAACAGCTGGATAGAAAAAGGTGACATAGGCGTTGTGAGGGATATTACATTAAGAAAGCAACTGAGAAAAAAGAAAGATGAATGAAATAGTTGATGATCTACATAGACGTAGATTTTGTTTTAGCTTTTATTGCTTTGCGAACTCTGTCCCTCACTTGGAGAAATGATCGGTTAGAGAGGCAACGTGCTACTTTTTTTATTTTGTTTAACTATGTCCCTCACCACGCCTATGTGAGGCATGTCACCCCTTTCTATCCAGCTCTGGAAATGCTTCTTGACTGCCTCCTTCTCTTCCTGGGTGAACTTTACCCTCGCCGTTTGATCGCTGGTACTTGAGAACTATCATGGAGAAAGAGAGGAGAGGGGGATGAAAGACATCAAGAAATGAATTGTGAAACAATTTGACCCATAATATCAGAGTTGCACATTTAGAAAATAACACCAATAAGCAAGTATTTCAGAAAATTCAGCAAATTATTGTATAGATGTCTAACACTATTCCATCACAGTTTTAAAATGACATTGATGAAATTCTGAACAAGTCTAACATTACCCGTCAAAGAAAGGAGCTAAAAGGGCTGCAATTGCCATTTAAATGCGTTACATACCAGAGATGATGATCCAGCTGACACACTAACGGATGGGGTGTCTGATAGCGGCGTGACTGGGTGCTCCTTATGTTGGGGATGTTTGTTGCACTTCACCCTCACTGGTGGATCGCTGGTACTTGGCAACTATCATGGAGAAAGAGAGGGGAGGGGGATGAAAGACATCAAGAAATGAATTGTGAAACAACTTGACCCATAATAACAGAGTTGCACATTTAAAAAATAACACCAATAAGCAAGTATTTCAGACAATTCAGCAAATTATTGTATAGATGTCTAACACTATTCCATCACAGTTTTAAAATGAAATTGATGAAATTTTGAACAAGTCTGACATTACCCGTCAAAGAAAGGAGCTAAAAGGGCTGCAATTGCCATTTAAATGCGTTACATACCAGGGATGATGATCCAGCTGACACACTAACGGATGATGTGTCTGGTAGTAGCGGGATTGGATGCTCATTATGTTGGGGTAGTTTTTTGCACTTCACCCTCAGTTTTTTGGTGCTGGTGGTCGAGCACTATTATGGAGAAAGAGAAGGGGGGGGGGGTGAAAGAAATAAAGAAAAGAATTGTGAATTGCACATTTAAAAAAAAGCATTAATAAGCAAATATTTCAAACAATTCAGCAAATTATTGTATAGATGTCTAACCCTATTCCATCACAATTTTGAAATGTCATTAATGAATCTTTAACCAAGTCTGAAAATACCGTCAAGGAAAGCAACTAAAAGGTCTGCAATTGTCATTTAAATGTGTTTCATAGAAAAGAATAGAATTTATTGACTCATTCGACCCCCTTCTGGGGTATGAGAGTACAACACATGTAGATGTCATGATAATGATACATAATAAAGAATACAAACATAGCTTAATAATACAAAGAATACAGAATACAACAAAACAACAACATAAAAGTATAACGATAAATAGGAATGATCTAAACCTAGCCTATGCTAAACATAAATACAATATTATACAATATGGCAAGCATACCAGGGATGAAGATCCTGTGGACCCACAAACTGATGGTGGGCGTGGCAGTTGCAGGACTGGGTGCTCCTTATTTCTTGTAGCAGAGCGTAGTTTTCTGCCTGACTGCATCTGTAATGCGAAAATGAGGCAAAGAAACCCTGCTATTAAAAGGTATGTCATTTTGTGTTTATAATCTATTTAACCTTATTTGAATTAACATGTGGATGTTGACAGGTATCAAAGATAATATCAAATGAGAGATATGGAAGCGGAAGTTTGGACAGCAAATAAATTGCAATATAGAGACATGTATCAAATGTATTCAGAGTTACTTATTTTTCATGCTGAATTAATTTTGACGGGAAACGATAACAATTGTTGGGGGAAGGAGAAAGCTAATTATTTCGACTGATTTAATTGTACGATTGCGACTCTAGTCCACTGCAGCAGGCAAAGGGTTGGCAATATAGTCAAGAAAATATGATAATTGCATAACATAGCATTTACCATCTTAGATGGAGCAGGGAGTTTCAATGGACTGGATGGAGGAGCAGCTGGGAATTCCAAGGGACTGGATGGACGAGCAGCTGGACGTTCCAAGAGACTGGCAGCTGGACGTTCCAAGGGACTGGATGGAGGAGCAGCTGGGAGTTCCAAGGGATTGGATGGAGGAGCAGCTGGTAGTTCCAAGGGACTGGATGGAGCAGCTGAAGTAGAAGGAGACTGACAAAAAGAGACAGCTGCGTTTATTTCATTTCCCCCTCATAACCTTGAAATACAGTGTATTTATCTACAAGTAAGATAGTACATGAAAGATGTTATTAGGTATACTAGACATGAATTTTAATGATATATAAAACAAGAAGTGCTAATCAGATTCATGATAATATTTAATCATGAGTATTTACCATGCTGGACATCCACTTCCGAATCCCAGTATTTGTGACTGCCCTCTGATCAAGGTATTTACATGTCTGTTTGATGGAGTATGTTATGGAGGACGAGGAGACTTGGGGGGATTTCGTCGTGAAAAAGACATGTTTCGTACCCTGTTCATAGCCGGGGCATCTGGGCCTGATGTGCCTAATATATATGGAAAACCTTTCATACTGCTCCTTATTGAGACACACCCTCGCTGCCCCGTACTTCATAACGGTCTTGTGGTTTAGGACCTGCAGAGTAAGAGACATGGATACGTTAACCTGAAATGACAACTGAAATATTAGATAACAAATAAATGATATATATTTCTATTCCAATTGTGCCAGGAATGACAAAGTAATGATTATTTTTAAATATACAATCTAACACAACAGTGCCCGTTTTATTCTGCCTTCTCATTTGTGATTTCTGCATTCACGAAGAGCAACTTGTTTTCAAGCTTTAATTCCCTTTGAAGGGATTAAATGTCAAATTCTACAGAAAAACAAATACCTGAAGTTAATATGACATACCTTAATGACGTGCTGATTTGTTTGCTCTTCATATATGGCTTTCAGGGCCCATTCTACCTCCATGTTGATAAACTCAGACGGTCTAGCGCCGTTGTCAAGCGCCATCCTAAGTAAAAAATAACCTCGGATGGCCTGGGCCAACGACGCTGTAATGCGCGCTTGGGATAAAAATAAAGGATGGAACTTGTTGAGGTACAACCCCTCTAAGGCAGCACTTAGAGATTGGGCCTCTTTGTTGGTGAGTTGGTCGTCTGTGAAGTGATGAGATGAAAAACAAAGGGTATGAAATTATATTTTCTTTATGCAACTTGGAAGTAAAATTATACTAATAGTATAATCGACTATGTTCTCAAAGGGTATATATTATACTCAATAATTGTAATTATTGTGATTTTTCTTCTTTTTCTTTGGGGGGGATGCCTCTTCTATATTATTGTTAAATTTAAGGGTGGGGAATTTCATTTAGCCCCTGTTTACGTTCTACCATTACTGTTACAGCATATAAACTCCAAAATGGGCCAGTTCGATATATGAATTCTTACGGTATCCACGCTCTGTCAGTTCAACCTGCCTCACTTTCCCTTCCTTCGCTAGTGAGGCAGCAATCTTCCTCCAGTCTTTAGTTTTCTGCTGGAGGGTTGGGATGCCAAGGAAGTCGGAAAAGGCGTGCTTTAACTTTCCCGTGGCCAAAAAATCAAAAAAATCCAGCTACACTGTGGCAATAACTTGCCACAGTCCCCTCAGCCTTCTTCTGCTTCTTCTGTTCAGCCACCCACATGCTTGAGGCCTCCTCAACGTTGAGAAGGCCATCCAAGGACCCATTGCAAAGGGAAGAAGCTATTACCCTCTGCACCTGGGCCACATGCTGGCTTGCATTTCCCTCAGACTTGAACTTTCCCAGCCTCGACATGAGGTGGACTTTATAATGGTGAAGCATTGTTCCTGTGATTTGGGAATGAATAATAGAAATATGTATTATCTTCATAACAACATCAGGCAAATTCTACTCCAAGTATTCATGACTTCTAACGATGTTGCAGTCCATAGCATAGCAAATATAATAAAAGGAATGCTCATACTTACGAGCCTTTTCATTTGCCCTATAGGTATCTGGCGTGTAGTCTCTATCGCTCTCTTCTTCCTCCTCGATCTCCTCGTCTTCCTCCATCTCCTCGTCTTCCTCCTCCTCCATATCATCATCTTCCTCCTCCTCCATCTCTTCCTCGCCCACCCAAGGTTGTTCCGAAACCTCAACTGAACTCTCCATCTCGTCCTCTTGTTCTTTAGCCTTCTCTTCTCCCCTCTCCATCTTCACCACGACCTCCACATCCTGGTCTTCTACCTCATCTTCTAATGATACAACAAGGTCAAACGAGCATGGTTTATGTTATGTTATTAATACATACAATATGGCTAACAAAGCATTAGCTGAACCTTCTATTTTTGGTCAACTGCTCTAAAGAGAGATCATGGCCAAAACAATCCTCCCCCAAAACCTGCAATTTGAAATATCATGATGTTAGTTTGTGTATTATAAGTCACAACCCACAACCCCACTTTTCCATGGGAAGGAGAGGTGAGGTTCATTACAAAAAAAAAATCTTAAATCACATATAATTCTGGGATTTTTTTTTCATTGAATTTTCTAGCAAAGGTACTGACTGGATGTATGGATGTAAGACAACATTGAATTTGGAAATTGCACAAAGAGAATTTTTGAGAGAAGATATGCAATGACATTTTCTTTTACAAGAAATGCCCGACTCACATAGTCCTCTAAAGATAATGCTATTGATTTGGTTTAAATTGTCACGACTGCCCACAATTGATTTGACCAACATCAGGTATAAATGTAAAGTTTAGATTGTTACTCACCAAACATTCCATTTGGAATTTCAATTCCATACTTTTTATCTCGGATCATTCTGGATGTTACTATAGATAGGAACAAAAAAGAAAACTTGAATTTAGGATCACACCCTTACCACTCAGTATCAATAACTCTTTGAACTGCAGTATCAGTCGAAACCGTTAAATAAATGTGTCTTGAACATTGATTTCAGAAGAACAGATCTAGGAGGTTAGAGTTAGATATATTCATCAAGACTGTTCTAGAATTTCAAAATAAAAATTGCTGATTCGGGCTTTATCTGTTGAACATACATGTTTAATTAAAGTTAATGTCCTAAAGAAAAGGTTCAACTTACTCTTCTTGCTTTTGCCATGAACTTCAACAATGTGCTTGTGCAGGTTAACAACCTTGGCATTGCAATGGGGGAAAAAACACCTAACCTTGTCTACATCGTCACCATCGTTTCTGCCTCTACCCTGACCGTCTTGATGAAATAATGCAGTGGAAAGTGCGTTAGCCTTTTCATTGTCAATGCGATGGATATTCATCAGATGCCTCGGCAACTGCTGGGTCCTTATCCCACAACCTTCTTAGGGACAAACCCTTACACGTCTTGGGCCTCTAACTTTTTTTGGTGCCGTCTTGACTGTATCAGCTTTATGAATGAACAAGACAGTATAAACTTTGAAAAGCAGTGTAATTCAAGATGTTTTCTTTTTTCATTCTTGAGGTACATTTGAAAATATTTCATTGATAGGTGTTTCTGGTAATAAATCTCAACTGAACTTGTGGAGAGCTACAAAATATGTCAATGTCGGGGGCAAAAATCACTTCTGATATATCTAAGTTGCTACTTATAGCATTTGTTTCAATAAAGATTCTTATAGGCATGCCGAGTAAATATACAAATTCGTTTTTTGGGAATCCAGATAAAATGTGGGCTGTTGGTGAAAGATTATAAAGAGGGAGGTCTATTAGGCAAGCTTAAAAACTTAAATGGCAGACACACACACATCCACATGTATCCACATGTTATATGCCACCAAACACACATAAAATACATGATTATAATTCGAAAAAATGAATAAAAGTAAAGTACTTACTTTAAGAATCAGCAATTCCTTGTAAAATTCGACTAAAGCAGCTTTCTATCTTTACTATAACAGGGACAGACTTCTGAGTTGAAATGAGTTTTTTACAGCACAGATTTTGGTATTTAACCTTTTTTTCTGAATGGGAAAAACCACTAGAACAAGGGCCACTGTTGTATCATCCATCAACAGCTGCCATCATAAAAAAGGAATATTTAAAATATCTCAAATTGCACTAGGATGACATAGGGCATATAAATAGCTGACCAGGGCAAAAATCAGGGCAAAAAATGAAACAGATAAAGTAATGTTACATACCGTGTGAGTCAAAAAAAAAGTTTACACCTAGAAAATTGCTAATTATTTTAAAAATCATCAACAGTAAATTATCATACATCTTATCAAAGAGTGTTTTATCCCAAATCATTTGGTATCATTTTTGTGTGGTATGTATAATGATTTACTGTTCATAGATGATTTTTAATATAATTAGCAATTTTGTAGGTTTAAACTTTTTTTGGACTCACACTCTATATAAAAAGAAAGAATAAACATGAAGTACATACCATAAAATATACAAATCAAAACACAAATATCAGTGTTATCCATGCTAACATTTGTGAACAGAGTTAAGATATAGAGATGGGGGGACGGGCGTCACAAAGTAATGTAGTTCATTAATAACAACTTAATGGAATAACTCATTACTAGGTGTCCGAGAAAGCAATATCCATCAATTTGGATCACTTGACAAACAGGTCTATACCGTGTGTAGCACATAACCAACCAATCGGACTGACTGCACTTCAATAAATAGCGACAATTTCAAGCATGATGCGATACCGTTCACAAAAGGCGGTTCAACCTGAAATTTAATCAGAATTATAAACAATCATAAATAATATGTCGATTTTCAACTGTGTTTACAAATAATCTTGCATCAAATGAGTTGTATGATTAATGCACGTTTACTGAAATTAAATATTATACTGTTCCAAAATGAAATATCAATGCCCACTAAATATTATGTTCTATTTCCTTATAGCAGATGAATAAAAACCTTTAAGATACCCTAATATGGCTGCTTCAATTTCCTTTGTTCATTAATATACTTGTGTGCATTATAAAACAATAACCCTAAATTCCTCTTTATACACATGTCTACAGTTACCAGAATTTATGTTCATTCTGTCACTTTATACAACTGCCTTTAATATAAATTATATTAAAATAACACAACACGGTCTGTACAACAGACTATCCCCATAACGGTACACTAGTTACACTACACACATGTACCGTACTATTTAACCGCACGTCTAATGCTTCATACAAAGTTACTGTACGCATAAATTACTTTCATAACAAATTTTATACATCAAATTATCTGAAAAATATGAACGTTTTAAAGCCAACACCCAACTCAAACTGACGGCTAATTATTAATTATCAACATCATATGTTCAAATTATACTCACAACATTGGGCTTGTCTGGAAATACTAAATATTGATCGCAATCAGAAGGATGACTTTTCCCAAAATTGAGAATCATTTGCAGCTAAATTGTTACGCCCCCACTCGGCAGACCAAAAATTCAACCAAAAAACCATCGCTTCTGACGTCATACTCCGATCGTCAACTGAAATAAAAAATGTCCTTACAAAACAGAGATTAGTATCTTACACCGTGGTCACTTAGGTTATTGTTACAAAGAAATTAAAAGCCTTGTTCTATACTGGATCCAGAACAACAATTCTAAATTGTCCTCTTATGTCTCTAAACAAGTGCCTTATACTCAATTAGTTTATCTTTGAGTTCTCTGCCAATTCTGAGGAGATGTCCTCTGGCCTCTTTACTTTCAACATTTGTATCTGTATCAGAAACGTGCACGTTGAATGCTATAGAACCAAATAATATTGTACTGGCACCATGAAAGCTCTTGTGCTAAAAACAGCTTCGCGGGATTCGAACCCACCCAAGTACAAAACAAAAAGATTTTACAGCATACATGTAGCTATTCAAGTTCAGTAATCATATTACTTTGTGTCATATGTATGAAACATAAGAGGAGATGATAGAAGGACAATAACGAATAATGAGAGGAGAGATAGAAGGGACACAAGGAATAAGATAAGAGAAGATGATCAAAGTTAAAGGGGTCAAATAGCTCGCTATGAGAATTAGCACTAAGAGTATATTAGCATGCTGTGTGGTTACAAAATATTACATTTTGAGAGTAAAACAGTGTACAAAACCGGTTTCTATGAGAGTATACATGTACATATGTTATACTGCATACAGGGGCGTCGCCAAAGGGGGGGGGGGGGTGCGACACCCCCCACCTGTCAGGATTTTGTCGGTAAAATTGCGCTGCCGTCGGGAAAAAGAGAAAGGGGGGAGGGAAAAAAAGAGGGAAAAAAAGAGAGGGAAAAAAAACAGAGAGGGAAAAAAGAGAGGGAAAGGGAAAGAAAAGAAAAAAAGAAAAGGAAAAGAAAAGAAAGAAAGGAAAAGAAAGGAAAGAAAGGAAAAGAAAGGAAAGAAAAGAGAAGAAAGAAAGAGAAAAAAAGAAAAAGAGGGAGGAGAGGAAAGAAAGGAAAAGAAAGAAAAGAAAGAAAAGGAAAAAGAAGAAAAAACAGTGAAAGGGAAGAAAAAAAAACAGGGGATGAAAGAGAGGAGAGAGAGGGAAGATAAGAGTCTGAGAGAGGAGAAGTGGGAGTAAAAGAGAGAAGGGGTTGTTGGGTGGAGTCGTCTCGTCGAGGGAGCAAGAAAGACACGGGTAAATATGTTGCTGTGTCGGGTCAGCTGTGTCGGTATTCTTGCTCGATCCTCGTGTACTATATCAATGCAGAAGTTTGAAGTCGGTGAGATGTATATTGTCGGTCGGCCGACAAGTTTTTTTCCCTACGAACTGTGACTTCTAACCGCTGTGACCATTTCGAGAGTGGCTACAACTACAATACTTGTATTTTCTCGAAGTTTCACTTTCCTATAAGTTCAGCTAAAGAAATCAGAGGTTTAAAATTTTCGGGGAAACTAAATTCAAACAAGGTTTAAGAGTCAACAACGGTACGACGAATCGTCTTCCTTTCTTTATACTGTGATGAAAGGCCAAAAATTCCGCGCTTCGCGCGAAAGGTGAAACTTCAATTAGACGATCCGAGAACGGTACAACGAATCGTCTTCTATCTCTAATAATTTAAGGAAACGTCAAAACTTCCGCTCTTCGCGCGAAAGTGGGAAACTGAATTCAGACAAATAGGGCTTATTAAAAGTCGAAAACGGTACAACGAATCGTGTTCTTTCTCTTGTAATTTGAGGAAACTTAAAATCTTTCGCGCTTCGCGCGAAAGGGGGAAACTGAATTCAGATGAATAGGGCTTAATAAGATTAGAAAACGGTAAGAGGAATCGTCTTTCTATCTCTATATTGTGATGAAACGCCAAAAATTCCGCGCTTCGCGCGGAAGGGGAAAACTTCATTTAGACGAGTCGAGAACGGTACAACGAATCGTCTTCTTTCTCTAATAATTTAAGGAAACGTCAAAGCGAGAGGGAGAAACTGAATTCAGACAAAATTAATAGGGCTTATTTAGAGTCTAAAACGGTACAACGTATCGTGTTTTTTCTCTAATAATTTGAGGAAACGTCAAAGTTTTCGCGCTTTGCGCGAGAGGGGGAAACTGAATTGAGATGAATAGGGCTTATTTAGAGTCAAAAACGGTACAACGAACCGTGTTCTTTCTCTAATAATTGAGAAAACGATAAAGCTTTCGCGCTTCGCGCGAGAGGGGGGAAACTGATTTCAGATGAATAGGGCTTAATAAGAGTCGAAAACGGTACGATGAATCGTCTTCCTTTCTCTATATTGTGATGAAACGCCAAAAAGGGGAAAACTTCATTTAGACAAGTCGAGAACGGTACAACGAATCGTCTTCTTTCTCTAATAATTTAAGGAATCGTCAAAGCTTCCGCGCTTCGCGCGAGAGGGGTAAACTGAATTCAGACAAAATTAATAGGGCTTATTTAGAGTCGAAAACGGTGCAACGAATCGTGTTCTTTCTCAAATGATATGAGGAAACGTCAACGCTTTCGCGCTTCGCGCAAGAGGGAGAAACTGAATTCAGATGAATAGGCCTTATTAAGAGTCGAAAACGGTGCAACGAATCGTGTTCTTTCTCTAATGATATGAGGAAACGTCAACGCTTTCGCGCTTCGCGCAAGAGGGGGAAACTGAATTCAGATGCATAGGCCTTATTAAGAGTCGAAAACGGTATGACGAATCGTCATCTTTCTCTAATAATTTAATGCAACGTTTAAAATTTCGCGCTTCGCGCGGGAGGGGGAAGCTTCATTCAGATAAGGATTAAGAGTCGAGAACAGTACACCGAATCGTCTGCTTTTTCTCAAAATTTAATGAAACGTCAAAGCTTCCGCGCTTTGCACGAGAGGGGGGGGGGGGAACTGAATTCAGAAAAGGATAAACAGTCGAGAACGGTAGAGCAAATCGTCTTCTTTTTTATAATAATTCAATGAAACGCCAAAGCTTTCGCGCGGGAGGG